CTTTCACCCACCGCCCTGTCAGCACTGTACACCATGTATATACGCCCCGTTATCGAATATGGTTCTCTGGCTATATCAGCTATGAATGTTCAGCAACAATATGCCCTCGAACGTCTCCAACGGCGGTCAGCAAAACTCTGCCTCCGATTCCCCCTCTTTAGTCCTTGCCACCACAGTTCGTTACTCCACCACGTCACTTGGCCAACCCTCTCATCCCGCCGGAAGCTCAAGCAGCTACTCTTTGCACACACCATCGAGGCGTCATCGAGTCTTTGCCCTCCCCAACACCCACTCCACCCGCCTTCAACGTTCACCCTTGTCCTCCGCATGCACTCAGTACAACCACCTGCCACCACACTGTTACTCCCTCCGAGAAATAAATGCATTCAAAAGAGAAGTTACCCCAATAATGGTACATGTATCATCAATTTGCACATGCCCCAACCCCCGCTGCAGGCCAGCCTAGGTATAGTATCTATCGCCTACCTGTCTTCGCAATGGATATACTTTCTTCTTCGTCTTCACTTAAATGAAGCATCCAAACCACGGCTGTCACTAGCCACTGTTTCTCCCGGTTTATTGCACCCACTCTGATTGATAACACATAGTACTGTCTCTCTCTTGTTGGCTACGGCCATCGTGAGAATAGAGATAATAATAATAATACACCCACCCCATACACAAACACACACACACGGACAAAGTGATAGTGGCATCACTTCTAAGCATGTGGCACAAATGCACCCACGCCTGGGCATTGGAGACAAGCTGAACTCACGAGTACAGGCGGTGAGTATCAGGAAAATGACTGTCGCTAGTCCATGTTGGTTCTCCATGATGCTAGACAATCTGCAAAGCATAATCAACGACATGCAATGTAAAGATGTTCACATACAGGCAAATTGTAATCAACAACGGTCACAACCAAGGAGCATAGGGCAAATCGATTAGGAGAGAGGAGCAACAGAGAGCACAATAATGTACGGAGAGAGAGAGAGGGATAGAGATAGAGAAAGAGAGATAGAGAGAGAGAGAGAGAGAGAGAGAGAGAGAGAGAGAACGAGAGAGAGAATGAGAGAGAGAGAGAAGAGAGAGAGAGAGAGAAGAGAGAGAATGAACGGAACGCAGTCTTGAAAGGGAAACTTCGGGTACGGGAAACTATGAGAAATTTTGAAAATTTGGCAAAGAGCTAGTGTTTGAGCAAAGAACAAGTGAGAGTGGTAAGCGATCAAAGAACAGCGAACATGAGTGCATGCCCAGACGTGGTCAGGTGTACTGGTTTGCACGGAACAGAGCTAGAGGAAGGTAGGCTCCCATGAGGTTATTTTTCAGCTTTCTGCAGCCAGTGGAGCGAACCGTGCACATGATTCCATGCACAGCAATGTCTTCCAGAATACCGACATCAGAAAGGATATTCGAATGGACGCAGTAACATTCGAAAATTCTCTGACTCCAACGGCGCGTGCTCTGTATTATGCAGCTCCGACCATGATCCTCTCTCTCGTGTTGAAGATGAGAGAAACGACAATAGGCAGGTTCCGCACTACGTGAAGTTGAACGACTTTACGTTAGTGGGCGGGAAAAAAAACATGACTTCGCGAGTTTGCACTCCAAGTACGGAAAGTTGTCTACGTAGAGTACGTGGACAAAGCTCTGATAACATAGGTGCTCTGTAAGTGATTTGAGGTACAAATTTATGACTTTCTCCCCAGGTCGATGCAGAGCAGGTTCTTTGATCAAAATTTGAACTTTCACCACTGGATATTCACTATCCGCATTTTCCGTGGACAATATGACTGTTGGACGGTCTGATTGAGTGAATTGACTGAGCCACTTCAGAAGAATATTCATTCATTAGCCTAAGCGATATGTATAATACCGAGTACATGGTCAATATAGTATAAATGCTGAGGCGAAGCCGAGGTCTTTTGCGAGGTTTCTATTTCCTATACTCACCTAGTGAGAAGTCCATATTAGATTTATCACAACAAACAGTCCGTATTTCCAATTCCAGAATGTTAACTTCACGGGTCCCAGTTTTATGATTGCGCAACCGTTCCACCATGTCCTACTCATACCAACATGTATAGGCTAGTGCATGCTGCTTGGAGTGTGCCATTGTTGCGCAACCACCAGGCAAAGCACAGTCACCATGCAGTGAAGGCACCGTTCAACTGCGCAACCCATAAGCAGTCAAATATACGGCCACACCAAGTTATTTCCATGCTTCTCGTCGCCGCGCGCGCACGTACCTTTTCGAATCCTTGACAAGAAAAAAAATAACCGAGACGAGTGAATCGATGGCTGCTCTGGCGAACATTCTCTAGCTAGTATGGCAAACCAGAGGTTATCAGCTTCTCGATAATCTTGCATTCCAGGCTATGGCACATAGAAGGTGCGGGAGATGAAACATTCTATTTTTCCAAGCCGTGCGGTAGGGCACGCGAAACATAGATTTGACTTGGTGTGCTATGTTACTAAGAATTGAACTGTGCAGGAATATTTGACTGCTTAGGGTAGGCGTATGCGGATAAGCCTGGCTTCGATGTGCATACAAGCCTGGCAAAAATATCAGTGGTGCATAGAAGCATGGTTTGCATACAAGCCTGGTTTGTATTAAAGCCTAATGCAGAAAGCGGCTTATATGCTTATAAGCCTGGCTTTTATCCGCGACTTTACGGTAAATCAGTTTGCCAATTTAACTCGGATACTGAGCCAGTAAATACAGAGGGTGTGCGCCTTAACCTGCAATAGTGCTCAAATGCCCGGAATGGGCAGAGCGTAGTACGCAAGAGGTACACAAAAGGAAGTAAATAGGGCTGTTTTTTGTTGTAACTCAGAGTTTCATGGCAAAAACCAATCATCAGACAACAGCCAATAAATATAATTAAAATAGAAGGAATCATAGTGAAACGAGTAATGAAGCAAATATCCACGACTGTGACAAGGCAATAAGCAGTCAGAAAGTGCTATAACACGGCACAACAGTGACATGTTTCTGTGGCTTTCAACAACCTGAGACCTAGGTCTCACACACCTCCAGTGAACAAACCAACAGCAATCCCCACCCCAACAGCAACCGTGGATAGTTGCTTCACAACTCTTTTCCATGTGATTTCTTCTATTTTCATTATATTTGTGCTAATTGTTGCACATTTTTGACTCAACAATATCCTGCTTATAATCGTTAGTGTTGGACAAAATCTGTCCCCTTGGAAAAACGCGATTCCGCGGTCGCGGCAAATTTCGCAGAAATTGCTATTATCCACGGAAATCACGGAATCTACACTTTCGCCCGCGGAATTTGAACTTTTTAGGGTAAATTAGTAATATTACTACTCAGAAAGCAGCAGAAAAACTACTTCGCGATCTGTTGGAGCACATTATGCTCTTGCCCAGTGCGGGTGAGTGCAGGATCTCCAAAATTCTTCACTCGCATGTCAGTTTGTGACTGCAAAGCATAGTGTGAAAAGTGCTCCTTCATGCAAATAGTTGTCATATCCTCAACAAGGAGGGTGAAAACTTGCAGAAAGTGCCGCAGATTTTTGATTTTACCACAGAAAATTCCGCAGAAAACCCCCCTTTTCCCCGCGGAATTTTGAATTATTGGCCGTGTTTTCCCAAAGGGACAGCAAAATGGATAACTTGCAGGCCCGGAGCCAGCTCCTGGGGGGTGGTACGGCCCCAGGTCGCCTACAGGACGGACTATTTCCACAAGTCCAATTTCAAAATCCTGGGAGGACACTTCTCTACCTCGATACACTACACGACAGACTATTTGTTTGTTTGTTTACCTTTACTTTACTTTACTTTACTTCACCAGAAGCACAGGCAAAATCTGCCTTCTCACTCGGCGTTTCCACATGTTCAATTTAAAAATTCTGGGAGGACCCTTCTCTACTTCTTCGCACTCATCGATCTGTTTGTTTCAGCTGCACATTCCTCCAGCAACAGATATGACAGCTAGCGCAGTAGACAAGACTGGACAAGAAGAACAGTTGATGAGGTAGAGACTCCAGCGAGAAGCTTATGATGATAGCTTATTACTAGTACGTACTTGCAGATAATCATGTGCACACTCAGCAGCCCATGAACGTGGACTTGGCGAAAACTGGCACGACCATGGCCGTACTAGCCACGCCAGTGGCGACAGCCCTCTCTTTTTTAATTCCAAAATTCATTCGAATACTATATTACTACTCACCTGCAGATATGGCTTGAGAATATCTTCTTCCACTCCTCCCATAATACCTAATGCATCCTGCGAAACCAATTTGTCCTTGATCTTTACCGAGAGACAGAGGTTTTCAAATGGTTGCGTGCTGCGTATTACAAATAAACGCAGCTGTTAAAATTGGGAATTGGTTTCGTCGACAACCAAAGAGGATGGCCTGGGCCGGGGATGATGCAGCCAGGCGCCTCTGGCGGCACCACCGCGCGTGCAAAAGTCCCGATTTGGCGTCGACAGTCTGGCCAAGCATGGCGCATGCAGTCTTGATCACAAAATCAGGTTTGCTATTAAACCTCCCTGGTTAACACACAGAGTGTTTACTTGGCCGTGACGTACATGTGCGTACAATGCATGCTTGTTTTAACCAATACACGCGTGAAATTAAGCTGAAAGCCGGATACAACAAGAGGTGGAGCTCCGGAGGTAGACTGGGTCGACGTCTCGGGCCATCTCCCGCCATATCGGGGCACGAGGGTGCAGATAGCAGATTTCTTCTAACGTCATGATGTAAGAGCATCGGATATATATAGCCATATACGGTCTATTGCGTCACATATCGCAAAGTCCGTACCAGCGGGGCTACATATCTAGAGCCTACGGCCATATCGGGGTACGAAGGCTTCAGATGGAGAAATCCTTATAGCCACTTACGTGCACTATCGCAAAGAGTCCGTAGTAGATCTACTCCGCACGCGCACCGCCTTTGTTACGAATCTAGAGCGTATAAGGTAGTGTAGGGCCATATCGGGGCACGATGGCGCAGACTGCG